CATCTCACTTTTATTGGTCTTTGGACTATCGTATATTAATGAAAATAATTGTATAATATTTTCTCACTCTGATAATTGCATCTGCTGCATCAGCATGATAATGCTCGGTGACATTCGTTTGTTTCATACCATGAAATGTTCTGTGTATCTTCAGCAGATCTAACTATCTCAAAATGTGTCAAACTTTGAGTCCCAAACCCACTAACTGGCTGTGTTTACAGGAACATGATTTGAAATTTAATGAGCATGGTGTCATGGTGCTTGGTTGTGGACCCTATCATATTGGTAGGTGGCGAAAATTGTACTTTCAATGTTTTCACTTCCTTGAAATCATAGTCAATAGAATAAGAAAGTTAGGGAACTCGATGCAGACCTAATAGATCTCATTATCCATGTTTTCGTCTTGGTTTGTGCAAGAAATGCTCGGTTCATCGTCACGTGTGTATCGTATTTTCGCCAGAGCAACCAATAGCTATGTTTTCATTTGACCATTGTGTAATATCACGACTGGGTAATTAAACCAACACACTGGTATTGGTTGGTTGGGCGAAAAAACAATACACACGTGACGATGAACCGACCATTTTTTTGCATAAACCAAGACAAAAAGATAGATATTAAGAGGTTTACTATGTCTATTCCTAAACTTCTTATTCTACTGACTATGCTGAAAGCAAAGACAAAGGTTTATTAACTAATCTTTTGAACATTTGTAGGGAGTAGTGTGGAATTTGATTGGTGTGCTGTCTCAGCAATACGAACTTTGCGCAAATTGGGAAAAAAGACCGTAAGAATTTTGAGTAAAAGCTATATAATCTAACTTAAATAAAGTTATACAGATATTGATCTATACTGGATAGGTCTATCATTTGTTCCTGTTTCTAAATAGACCTTTCCCCTTATGAGTGAAATTTTGATCTAGATTTGCCTGAGCAACAATTTCATCACAGCTTGAAAGAGCATCACAAAATTAGTAATATTCCGAAGTTTCGTTGCGAAATGTTGTAAAATGCGGATAATATAGCCGTGCGAAGTTTGCCGTTTTTTAGTCATTTTCCATTACAATCTAACATTTTGCATCAGTTTGATTATCTGATTATCAATTTCCCGTTTGTAATACCAAATGACTGAAAAACGGCAAACTTCGCAAGGCTATATTATCCGCATTTTACAACATTTCGCAACGAAACTTCGGAATATTACTAATTTTGTGATGCTCTTTCAAGCTGTGATGAAATGTTTGTCCAGACTTGTCTAGATCAAAATTTCACTCAAAAGGGGAAAGGTCTTCTATTGTTCCCTCTATAGGTCCAGTAAGGACCATTGGGCCATTGCATTTTTTATCTGCACCCCCCCCTATTGAGGACACATGGAATTTCCAATGGCCCCCTGCAAAAGTGAACCAAAAATGAAGGAATTTCCATGGGAGGGTCCAAATTTTAAAGCAAATCTGCGGAAATTCCAAAGGGTAGGTAAGAAAAATGAGTATGGAATTTCCATGGGAGGGTCAACAATGGAAAAGAAATTCCAAAGGATAGGATCAAAATCAGCAAGGAATTTTCCAAGGGATAGCTACTAATCAAAGAATCAATATGGAATTTCCACTGGCTAGATCAAAAACTGTCAAGGAATTTCCATGGGATGGGTTAAAAGTTCATAAAAAATTTGCGGAAATTCCATGGGGATGGCTAAAATTCAATAAAAATTTGCGGAAATTCCACGGGGGAGGCAAAAAATTCGCTTAAAAAATGTGGAAATTCCAGGGGAGGGGGGACCAAAAAATGGATGTCCTCAATAGGGGGGGTTTGGTTTAAAAATGCAATGGCCCATTCCTTACTGTTCCAGTGTTACTACAGGATAAACTAGTTTCATTTCTAGTTCTTCGTATCTGTGAGGATGGTTCTAAAATAGAATTGAAGCTTTACGCGTACTCCAAGACAAGCGTTTAGTCGTCTCGAAAATATTTCGTGCACTTTAAGTGGATAAGACCAGTGAACTCTATAAACTCCAGGTAAACTGTCCTATGATTGGGTGATCGAAGCCAAGATAGCGGCCTATAGAGTGATCTCTTGTAGGTGTAAAACACGCGTGTTTTTCGCATGGACTTCGCGGGGGCTGAAAAATGACTAACGTTTTCCGATCGATGTTTTCAAACATAAATGCTCAATTTAATGGTAGCTAAATCCCCTACCTAAAAGCTAAAACCTAAATGGAAAGATAAGATTGATGCAAATACAGTCTATATCACTCTGTGTTCAGTTCAAATCCCTCATATAGTCCAGAAAAACAGAATTTTGCTGGTGCTTCTCCGCGGTGTTTTTCTGAACTTGTTTGTCACTCGTCAAATAACTTTGCTTTGTTATGATAAAGTGTTTCTAAAATTGGTTATTCTGAAATACCAGTTGCTGTAGTTTCTTAGGGCCAAGGTAAAGCCGAACTTAAAATATAATCGGCCGAAAAGTTATGATTCAGACAAAGTCATGATCGTTGCCACCAGTCCCAGTCAACCAACAACACTCTATTTTCTCGTACCTTAGGTTGTCGTAAACCACAATCCTGAAACTGTGAGCACAGATTACGACGAGTGTGATCGTCTATACTTTGAGGAGTTGTCTTTGGAAAGAGTTTTGGACATCTACCAACAAGAGGTACGGAAATACAATGAACTCCTAATACCAGACACCTGTTTTAACCAAACACCTGGTACCCATCTTCAGTGGGTCCATATTTCTGGTCCCAATATTGATGAAATTCTATTATCATACCTATTATGCCCCCCGGGAAGGCTTATTTGATTCAGGCACTTTGGAGGGAGTAGGCTTGATGGGACGGGGGGGGGGCGTATTGTTTTTCGTAAATCACAATAAGTACGAAAGACTTGTAACAAAAGTAAAGTAACAAAATGTTGCGGGACAATAAATAAATATAATCAGTACACATATGTTCCTTTGTTCTGTATTGTAGGGAGCGTAATAGAGACTGGGGTTTAATAATTGTCTTCCTTTAAAAGGAGGGTCTTACTAGAGAGGGAGCTCATATAAGAAGGGTGGGAGTTTGATAGCAGAATTAAGGCAACCTCAATCAGACACCTCCGTGTGGGATACTTGATGGTGTTTGCAAGGATTTTCATCTTCTGATGCATGTGAATGAGTAAAAGAGTTCTGAATGTTCTGAATGCATGTACCCTCATCTGAACATTCATAACTCTTCCACTCATTCACATCTATCAGAAGAAGAAAATCGCAACAAGTAAAGCGAGCATTACAAAGGTTGAACTGTATTAAGAGAACATTTTCTATGTCACGTTACGTTGACTCTAGATTGGCACGTCTGTTTTTCTACTTCTGTAGGAGTGCGATGGGACAATCATCTCAGTCGGAGGTCAAATTCCCAACAATTTGGCGTTGCCACTCTATGAACGTGGAGTAAAGATATTAGGAACTTCTCCATTGATGATTGATGCGGCTGAAGAAAGGTAATTATCAGGAAAGGCAACTTTTTACCATAAATCAGGACGCAAATGTCCAAAATAATAGAGAGGTTAAGATACCCCGGTTTCGGTGTACGGATACGAGTAGTGTCATCTTGTTTTACTGATGTCTGTAATTCGATCATACTTTTTCTTGCTAACCAAAATCATGCTACCCGTACACGTACACGTAAACCGAAACCGGGGTATCTTAACCTCTCTAATGTCCTGTCGAAACGACTTCGCTGGTAATCTGGGTTTTTTTTCCGATATTTCAGACACAACATACGGCAACCAATGTGTTATGTTGATTTGTCTTAAATTTGCATTTTTCTTCAGATCTCGTTATTCGCAGATTTTAGACGAAATGGGTGTAGAACAGGCCCCGTGGAGAGCACTGTATTCTGTGGTAAGATTTCATGCATGAAGATGGGGATAATGGCTGGTAAATGGGAGGTGTAGTGGTGGTGGTGATGATGATGATGATGGTGTGATGATGATGGTTATGATGATGATGGTTATGATGATAATGATGATAGTGGTGATGATGATGATGATGATGATGATCTGATGATGATGATGATGATGATGATGATGATGATGATGATGATGATGATGATGATGATGATGATGATGATGATGATGATGAAGATGATGATGATGATGATGATGATGATGATGATGATGATGATGAATGGGTGTAGAACAGGCCCCGTGGAGAGCACTGTATTCTGTGGTAAGATTTCATGCATGAAGATGGGGATAATGGCTGGTAAATGGGAGATGTAGTGGTGATGGTAGTGGTGGTGGTGTAGTGGTGATGGTAGTGGTGGTGGTGATGATGATGATGATGGTGGTTATGATGATGGTTATGATGATGATGATGATGATGATGATGATGATGATGATGATGATGATGATGATTGTGCAGTATGTCCAGTGTGGTGAATCATTAAACGAATAAAAAATATACAGAAATAACGAACAGCTGTTATTGATGCTACTCATTTCAGAATGATGCATTGGACTTTGCAGCAGGCGTTGGATACCCTTGTTTATTGAGACCTTCGTACGTACTAAGGTGTGTAAGTATTGATGTCAGATTTACCTAATTTTTATGATCGTACCTTTTGTTATTCATTCTTCCGACTCTCTCTCTCTCTATCATTACGTTTAATTTTATTTTGACTACAGTGGTTCTGCGATGAATGTTGCTTATGGTCCTGAAGAACTCCTCAGATATTTAAGTGATGCATCCAGAGTCTCGCAGGTCAGTGATGTGTAGCTCGTGAAAAATAGTACAGTGAAATTTGGTCACACTCCAGGGCTTGAAATAACAGCCGATCACCGATCAATGATCGGCAAGAAATTGCTTATGATCGGCGGAAAAGCAGGGTTTCCAACCTGAAAAAGCAGGGAAAGTCATGACTTCAATGATTTGGATTCTTGCACTTCACTTGGTAGAATTAATATTAGAATTTATATTAGAATGTTAGAGTTTGTAATCCAAGTGAGAATATATACATTTTAAGACCTAACCAGGAACGACTGCGAAAAATGCAGCACAAGGTCCTCTGGTAGGAATTGAACCTACGGCCCTTCAATTCCTACCAGAGGATCTTGTGCTGCATTTTTCGCAGTCGTTCCTGGTTAGGTCTTAAAATGTATATATTCTCACTTGGATTACAAACCCTAACATTCTAATAAAGTCATGACTGCCGATCACCATGATCGGGAACTTTGGGAACGTTATTTCAAGCCCTGCACTCAAGCAAACTCTCGCTTTGCCAACTCTCATCAACTCTCACCGTCGTTTGATCCGGGATTAACATTGCACTTATTTAGAAACTTCTAAAGCCTGGATAAAACGGGGAATGAGAGTTGACGGGAGTTGCAACTCTCGCTCGCGTTTGACCAACTGTCATCGGCTCTCATTAACTCTCATCAACTTTGAACTGGTTCAAATTTTGATGAGAGTTTTGGCTACGCATGCGGTAATATCCAGTCAACTCTCATGAACTCTCATGCAACTCTTGTTCTCGTTTGACCCCGGGGCATAAGAGTTGGGAAAACTCTCATGCAAACTCTCGCTTCTCAACTCTCGTGCAACTCTTGTTCTCGTTTGACCCTCGGGCATAAGAATTGAGAAAACTCTCATGCAAACTCTCGCTTCTCAACTCTCATTTTCGTTTGTCCCGCGTAGGTTAAGTTTTAAAATAATTAATATTATGCCTTAGGAACATCCAGTTGTGATAACGAAGTTTGTAGAGAATGCCAAAGAAATAGAAATGGACGCTGTCGCCCAGAATGGAGAGGTACGGACAAAAAATTTGGATCAGCAAACAAAAATACTCAAATACTCCATACAGTAACGACAACGACAACGACAACGACAACGACAACTTATTCTGTTCTCTTCCCCGTAGGTGGTTACTTACGCTATTTCAGAGCACGTTGAAAATGCCGGAGTACATTCAGGTGACGCCACGTTAGTCTTACCGCCACAAAGTATCAGCGAGGAAACGATAAAGCAGGTAAACTGTTGACCTCCTTTTACTTTGGATACAGTAAAACCCCGCATATAAGAACCGAGAATTTATTAAGAACCTGTTAGGTTCTTATTTATAAAAAAATTTATTTAGACTCCCTTTAAATAAGAACCTATAGGCTAGAATTTCAAAGCAGGTTCTTATTTTATCAAATAGAGTCAAAAGTGAAAATTTATAAATCAAAGAAAACAAGCTCTTCACAAAGTAATGAAAGTGACCCAGAACCCTGGAAATGTCATTCAGATAAATAACATGTCTATATGAACACAACAACAAATAATTGAATTTCTTCAGTGGAAATACTACATGACAATCTCAACTGCTAATATAGTAACTGTAAGCAATGTTTTTCAGCATCATGAATTGTTAGATAATTTAGATGCATAATTTATATAAATTATATACCACACCTACCGAAAATGAGTCGCTTTTTCCTTAATTAAGAAATCCTGTTAAGCACCATGTACATGTGTGGGGTTTTACTGTATTCTTACTGTATATGTGCTTCAGTATATTTTCTGATTTTCTTACATCTACTTGTAATATATATAAAGCATGAGCAGGGTTTTTTTCAGGGATTTTTGAATTGAGTTTTGAAATTCAATCTTCTCACCAAAGTTTCAGTGCGGTTAAAATGAAGTTGTTTGAGTTAAATTTGTGGCGTGTGGAAATTAGTTTATAAAATAACATGTACATAACGCGTATTCTGATTGGTCGAAAGCCGTGTTTGGATCAGGCCATCCAAACACGGAAGACTATCGTGTTGTTGTTATTTTATAAAACAATTACTTTATGGTTTCCGTGTTTGGATGGAATGATCCAAACACTTGGGAATGTTGCTCGAGTTAAGAAAAGCGCGCAAAATCACTCGCCTTCGGCTCGTGATTTCGCTCGCTTTTCTTAACCCTCGCAACATTCCCGCGTGTTTGGATCAGGCCATCCAAACACGGAGACCATAAAGTAATTGTATATTTCAGTTGGAAACCCGACGATTAAGAAAAAATGGCTGGAATTCATCTCACAACACAAGAAAAACTATGCATTCGCCATCTTTAACCAGTTTATAGTGTCCCTTAGTGCCCCTGCTTTAACACATTCCGTCTCAACTACATTTATTGAGTACAGGTGTCAGCCCCCCGGTAGGGGGTGGGGTGTAGCCACCCCAGCTGTTCAGCTAAACTCAATCTTCTCTGCAAAAACGGACCCAAGAGAAAATCCTGAAAAAACCCACCCTGATGAGCATTCAATCTGTATATCTGATTTACAAGGTGAACCGGTGTCACAGGAGATTCGCCCCCCCAGGAGATTCGCCCCCCTTCTAAAGGGGGGCGAATTTCCTAAAGGGGGGCGAAATTCCTAGGATTTTCGCCCCCCTGGGGGGGCGATATTCCTAGGAATTTCGCCCCCCGGGGGGCGAAAATGTAGGGGGGGCGAAAATCCTGGGACACCGGTTCGTTTTAGCCGAGAAAATCGAAACAAACGTTTATGCAAATCAGGACAAAATCTTTCATCCGATTTACAGATATTAATAATTAAACACTCATTTCTTTTGAATTTTCCTCATGAATTATTAATGGTATTTTATGTGCATATCTAAGTTGTACTTGTATTTATACTTGCAGATAAAAGAGGCCACAAAAAAGATTGCCAAAAAATTTGAAATCTCTGGTCCGTTCAATACACAGTTCTTGGCCAAAGATGGAAAAGTTATGGTGAGCTGATAGTCTTTTATAAAATAACATGTATATAACGCGTATTCTGATTGGTCGAAAGCCGTGTTTGGATCAGGCCATCCAAACACGGAAGACTACCGTGTTGTTGTTATTTTATAAAACAATTACTTTATGGTTTCCGTGTTTGGATGGACTGATCCAAACACTTGGGAATGTTGCTCGAGTTAAGAAAAGCGGACAAAATCACTCGCCTTCGGCTCGTGATTTCGCTCGCTTTTCTTAACTCTCGCAACATTCCCGCGTGTTTGGATCAGGCCATCCAAACACGGAAACCATAAAGTAATTGTATATCACTAAGCACTAAAAAAAGTTAAAAACCAAGCACTGATGCTAAATTAAATCTGGTAAATTTATGTTGTGCTTTCGCTGAATTTTGACAGGTAATCGAAACCAATCTCCGTGCTTCGCGTTCATTTCCATTCGTATCTAAAACCACTGGTATAGATTTTATCTCGGTGGCGACCAAAGTGATGACAGATACTCCATTGGATAAGGGTGATAGATGGGCGTTAGATTCCCCTCTTCTACCTGAAGGATATGTTGGGATAAAGGTGAACAAAAACATGATAATTACAACAAAAGCAAAACAACAACAACAACAATAACAATAACAGCAGCAACAACAACAACAATGACGACAGTAACAACGACAACAACAACGACAACAACAACAACAACAACAACAACAACAACAACAACAACAACGACAGTAACAACAACAACTGCAGCAACAACAACGACAGTAAAAACAACAACGACAGTAACAACAACAACTGCAGCAACAACAACGACAGTAAAAACAACAACGACAGTAACAACAACAACTGCAGCAACAACAACGACAGTAACAACAACAACAGCAGCAACAAAAACAACTGCAGCAACAACAACGACAGTAACAACAACAACAGCAGCAACAGTAAAGCCTAGTTTCCATTTGGTCGTTAGTTGTCGCTAGCACGACAAGCGGTAGATGTGAAATTTAACAAATATAAAACATTTTCCGTGTTGATATACAGTTTTATAATATAGCATTTGTAAATTCTGAACGCTGATTGGCTAAGAGCCGTGTTGATATAACTCAATGTCAACACGGGAAATTTTCCGCCGCTTGTAAACACGGAAATTTTTCTGATCCTTCGGGCTTTTGACATTGCTATATTATAAAAAAAATATAAAACATTTTTTCCGTATTGATATATAGTTATATCAACACTCGTGGAAGTTGAGAAAACTCGAAATTGTATGAAAACACTCCGCCCTTCGGGCGTCGTGTTTCCATACAATTTCTCTTTTTCCCAATTCCACTCGTGTTGATATAACTGTATATCAACACGGAAAATGTTCTATATTTGTTAAATATCAACACGAGTGGAAATTGGGAAAATGAGAAATTGTGTGGAAACACGACGCCCGAAGGGCGGAGTGTTTTCACACAATTTCGAGTTTTCCCAATTTCCACGAGTGTTGATATAACTATATATCAATACGGAAAACAGTTTTATATTTGTTTTATAATATAGCACAAAAAAACTCTGAAGAAATATAAAGAAAGAAATTTTCCGACGTTTCCATGTTGACATTGAGTTATATCAACACGGCACTTAGCCAATCAGCGTTCAGAATTTACAAATGCTATATTATAAAGTCTAATATCAATAGTCTTTTTGTGTGTTATATGCAAATCAGTCTTAATGATTGCAGAGTTTTATAAAGTTTTGTTGACGCTCTATTACATCAGCCACTTGTCGTGCCAACGACAACTTACGACCAAATGGCTTAACAGCAACGGTAACATCAGCAGCAACAACAGCAGCAACAACAATAACAACAGCAACAACAGTAACAGCAGCAGCAACAACAGCAGCAAAAGCAACAGCAACAACAATGACAGTAACAACAACAGCAACAGTAACAGTAGGAGCAGCAACAAGAACAGCAACAACCGCAACAACAGCAGCAACAACGACAGTAACATTAGCAACACTAATTACAGCAACAACAACCATAACAATAACAATAATAATAACAACAACCACAATGGCAGTAACAGCAGTAATAATTACGACAACAACATAAACAGCAAAAATGAGACCGACAACAACAACATCATCATAATCATCATTAACAGCAGTTGCAATAGCAACAACAACATTAACAATGGAAGCAACAATAACCGCAACAAACAAATTACGATAACAACAACAATAATAACGTCAAGAACAAGAACAAATACAACAACAACAGCGACAACAACAACAACAGCAACAACAACAACAACAGCGACAACAACAACAACAACAACAACAACAACAACAACAACAACAACAGCAACAACAACAACAACAACAACAACAACAACAACAACAACAACAACAACAACAACAACAACAACAACAACAACAACAACAACAACAACAACAACAACAACAACAACAACAACAACAACAACAACAACGACGACGACGACAACAACGACAACGACGACAACAACAATAGCGACAACAACAACAACAACAACAACAACAATATACACGACAACAACGGTGGACAAAAGACTACGAGCATAAACATTAAAACCTGTTTAGTATTGTTCCTTCATTTTGTATTTCTTTTTCAGGCTCCAATGTTCTCCTGGCCAAGACTACGAGATGCTGATCCTGTTCTCAAATGTGAAATGGCATCAACAGGAGAAGTTAGTACCATTGCTTTCTTATTTTAAACCCACCCTTTTCAACAGCTAATCTACTAGCTACCCTGGGGCCAGTTGTTTAAAGGTGGGTTAGCGCTAACCCTCGGTTAAAATTTAACCTGCTGTTTTGTTTATATATTTCTGAACGTCTGTTTATTTCAAAACCTCAGGAAAATCAACTCCTACCGACCTGGTCAAGATTTCCGAAGAAACATTTCCAAATTTATAGACAAGCTATCAAGAAGTTTGCTTAGAAGTTTAGGACTCACTCGATATCGAACTAATGTTGAAGTTTTATAATTTTAGGTTGCCTGTTTTGGTCCAAATATCCACACAGCTTTTCTTAAAGCTTTGCTTTCTACTGGATTCAAAGTTCCAAAAAAAGCGATTCTTGTCGGAATCCAGGTAGGACAGACTTTGTTTTGCAAGCAGCGATTGAAACAACCTACTTTATTCTCAGATTTTTTGATTGACAATGTCGCGTTATATAATTCACTAGCAGGGGCGTAGGAACCGGGGGGCAGGGGGGCCATGCCCCCCCCCCAAGTTTTGGCAAGGGGGGAGGTCGCCAAATTTTTTTTTTGAGATGCCCTTTTTTTTGGAAAGTGCCCTTCAAAGCGTGCCCCCCCCCCCCAACTTTTCTAAGCTTCCTACGCCCCTGTTCACTAGGGAGGTTTAGCAAAGACGACGCGACGCCAAAGACGACGTGAAAATGGCGTGGTACATCCATAAATGGGCACATCACGTCATTTTTACGTCGTCTTTGCTAAACCTCCCTACTAACTGTTTACTGTTGAAGGCATATGTTGAAACGTGATATGCAAATTACTATAAATCATGTCAGTGATTTCTGGCTATGACACAGTTTAAAACTGATACAGCTATCCATAATAAATAAAGTTAGTTTAGGTTTCTTCCTTTAGTGATATACTGAGCCAGTAGCGGTGGTTCTAACTGGACCAAACTCTAACGCCTTACTGATTTCAATTTTCGTTGTTTCCAGCATTCATTCCAACCAGACTTTCTACCAACTGCGTATCAACTACACCGTTTGGGATTTGATATGTATGCGACCCAAGCCACGGCCGAGTATCTCAATGCTCACAGAATTCCTGCTAGAACTGCGCAATGGCCGCTCAAAGAGGAGGGACCGGACCCGAGTGCAACAAGGTATAAGCACAGAATACTATACAGAAGTCCATCTCCATTGCTTTTTGCGTAAGCTCTATTCGTCATGATTCGTCACTCAGCAAGTACCGTAAACAGAAGCAGTCCCCCCTGGAAATACTTAAAATGGCGCACATCCAGGGGGGTGTCTGCTTCTGTTTACGGTACTTGCCGAGTGACGAATCGTGACGAATAGAGCTTACGCAAAAAGCAATGGAGATGGACTTCTGTGTAATATTCTGTGGTATAAGTATGCCATGTGTAAAAATTTTTCAAGGCGAAGAATTTTTTTAAAAATTTTCCCAAGAATTTAAAAATTATTTTAAATATACTTGGGCCAACTATTAAATGTGAAAATCCTCTTGGGGAGGTGGGGTTGTCTTAATAGAGACCTTAAGATTGACGTTTACGGCAAACGTCAAACCGCTAGCGAGGTTTTTTTATTTTACAACTCTATTATTATAGCTTTTACACCAGTTTTGAAACTTATTAAACTTGTGCTCTTTAGCAATGATTTAAGAAAGCAAATTAACCACTAGTCATGCCATTCACTAAAGCAGTAAATTAAGATTTGACGTTTGAAGTTGACGTTTGGCGTATAAATTTCATGCTTTTGGTGCAACGCTCTAACCAACTGAGCTACAGAGAGACAGTTGTTGTCGAGCTCTACCCACAAGTTCATGTATGAATACCAAGGTGATGCCAATGTGGGGGCTTGGGTGGCGAAGTGGTTAGCGCACTTTGCCTTTCACCTCTGAGGTCGCAGGTTCAAATCCCAGTGAGAACTTTCCCAATGCGACCCGAACCCAGTCCTCATGTGAAAGGAATAAAAAGTCGACGCTCTGCCGAAAGTCGTGGGTTCCTTCCGGGTACTCCGGTCCCCTCCCACAGTGAAAGTTGACAGGGTGGGTTCAAACATGTCCAATACTGTCGCATTCAACGACTCGTGAAATTCGAAAGTCGTGATTCACGAGTCGTGGTTTAGCTTTTATATACTAAGACATTCACGATATTCGTACGACTCGTTAAATTCGTGAAATTTCACGACTTGTCGCATTCAACAAGTCGTTAAATTCGAAAGTCGTGATTCACGACTTGTACTTTAACCATTAGTTATAAGACCACGAAATTCTTACGACTCGTTAAACTGGTGAAATTTCACGCCGCAAGTTACATTATAAATTATGAATCTAAATCTCAAATATATATGTTCATTCCTCCTCTTCAAGTCAAAACGTAACTCATCAGTTGTATGAATATCTGAAATATATACATGTTCATGTCTCGTTCTTGAAAAATCTAATTCAACATATAATGGCGCGCTAATGATAACTAAAACATTACTGTATATAATACTTTTATATAGTATTTACGTACCATGCATTTGCTTCGTTCTCAGTCAAAATACTCACTTGGCACTGCGCTCATGAATATCATGTGTCTGAATTAAGGTATATACACGCAGTTATTTAAAATGCACATTATGTACTTATAAAAATATAAATGTTATGTACTTCATGAGTTTGTCTCGTTCTTTAAAAGACACGCTCACACACATATAAATGCGCAGTTATTTAAAATGCACACTACACTCTTATAAATATAATCTTAGCTATATATTTCATGAGTTTGCCTCGTTCTTTATAAGACACGCTCACACACATAAAATGCGCAGTTTTTTAAAATGCATGCACACTATATATACACTCATAAATGTAAATGTTATATGTATTTCATGACTTTGCCTCGTTCTTTAAAAGACACGCTCACATACATATAAATGCGCATTGATTTAAAATGCACACTATACTGTATGTACACTCATAAATGTAAATGTTATATATTTCATGAGTTTGCCTCGTTCTTTAAAAGGCACGCTCACACACATGAATGTGCAGTGATTTAAAATGCACACTATATACACTCATAAAATATAAATGTTATGTATTTCATGAGTTTGCCTCGCTATAGTGACGCTGCATGAGTAGGGACTCGCCGGAATGAGTTAAATCACTAGCCTATATAGGCAAAATGTTAGCCGGCTATACATCGTCATTATAACTGATTATGAATTTTCCTCTTAAATAGCCTATATAGCCTATGTTCATTCATCTTTGGTAAGAAGGGCCCACGGTAATTGACATATGCTGTTGTGGTGTCCCTTCCCTAGTTGGCATAGCTAACTAAATAAATAAAAAATGTACGGTGTATGGGTAAATATCATTGAACTATAAATAAACTGGAAGGCTAACTGCTATGATGAAAGCCTATGATTTGATGAAGCCAAAATAGTTATGAGCAGAAATACTTGATCCCAAACGTTGGGCTATATATCAAATTGAAGCTATTAATTGAAAATTGCTATTCGGTGTGGAAATTTCAAGACTTCAGCGAAAAGAAAAATATTTAAAAAAATACAAAAACAACTGCAAAATGGCAAATTATCGGCAATTTTGTAGTCTTTAAATATTTCCTTTTTAGCTAAAGTCTTGAGATTTCTACACCAAATAACGTTTTCCAATAGCTTCAGTTTCATATACAGCACAACGTTCAGTGTTGAGTATTTCTGCTCATAACTC